GTTGCACCAGTATTGATGAAGTCGTGACAGCGGCAACCCTAGAGACAGCCTGAGACGAGGACAGGTTTTCCTGCAAGGTCCCCGCAGCCAGCATCTTGGTCTGGTCCCTCCATCCTTAAAAACTCACCAGTACTACAGGAATCACCTCCAAGACTTATATCTAAACACTAGCCACCATGATGTCATTTCTGTTGTACCTTCACTCTCTTACTGCCTCTTCACAGTACTGCAGGCCTCACACAGTCCTCACGTTTGAGCCTCAGGCCCTGGTGGTCATACAAGTTCCTTAACTGCTTCGTAGTTGAGCTCAAGTTCAGATTTAGGTATTCTGCTTCTCGCACCAGGATCATGCACAATGCCATCTTGTGTTTTGTTTATGTATGCAGGATTTTTTGTTGTTTTGAAATGGTCACATTGCCTTGTCCTTTTGCCCAAAGTACAAGTAAATAACTAATTTTTAGGGTAGAATTTGCTCAGATTTTGGTGTCCCAGGTGATAAGTGTGCAAACCTTGTAGATATAAATGAAAACTTCTCAAGCCATGGTGATTTTTCCTAAAGTAGAATATCCTTTTTTGTGTGAATATGTGTATTTGGAGGGGACAGGAACTGAAGTGTATTTTATCACTGGAATTTTCACTTGGCTTTTGTTGGTTCGTGTTTCCCTGCTTGGTTTTTCCTATCCCGTTTAAAAAACTTTTCTGAATCATTTGTATTACCACTCTCTTGTGAATAAGCCTTTTCCCCAGATGGACAGGAAGGGCTTCCTTTTTGCTTTCTTCTTGTCCACTGGTTGCTCGCTCCCATAAGCGCTGAGTTTGGAGCTAATGCTCCTGCCTGCTCTGTCTTGTTGCTTCTTTCCGAGTTTCTTTCTCTTCATGCTGCATTACCTTCCTCAAGACTTTTTTCAAATGATGTTTTTATGTGGTGAATTTTCTGGGCCTTGTATGCTGAGAATCTATTTTTTCCTTCTATTTAAACAGTAGCTTACTAGCTATGTGTAAATTCTAAATACCTAGTTCTTTTTCTTGAACACGTTGAGAGTCATGACTCTATTGAGTGTTGACACCTCTGCCATTGGTGCTACTCTTCCTTTATGGAAGGGTTTCCTTTTTCTTTCTGGAAGTATTTAAGATCCATATACTCTTCTATGTTCTTACAGTATGCTTTGCTGTGAATTTTTCCATAATTATTCCATTCGGCACTCCAGGTGCACTTCCCATCTGAGATTTGAATATTCTTTTAATCTGGGAACTTCCTGTCATTTTAAAAAATATTTCTTCCTTTCCATTCTGTCTTTGGTCTCCTGTGATTTCTGTGATATAGATGTGAATGCTCTAATCCTGTTTTTTACTTTATCTCCTGCCTGTTTTGTTCACCCCCTCTCTAGGCATTCTCGAATAGCTTTTCCATGCATGTTCTCATCTCATTGACTCATCCTATATCTGTGCTTAATGTGCTTTTAATCTACCCCTTGAGTTCTTTATTTCAGACTGTTCTATTTTAATACCCACAGTCACATGTTGATTCATACTTGCATTTTCGTACTTATATTTCTACAAATCTTTTATTTAAGATATACTTAAAGTATCATTTTGTTTAATCTGTTCTGTTTTCTCTTGGTGAATTCTTTCTATTTGCTTTTCCTCCATTCCTGTGTTTACACAGCTTGAAGTTTTCCTTTTGTTTCCTTGGGGCATTTGGTTGCCTCGGCTACTAACTAGACCTAAGGCAGGGGTACTAACTAGACCTAAGGCAGGGGAGAAAGGTGAGGCTTTAGCTTGGACTCCTGTGGGTTAACTTGAGAATGGAGGCGGAAAGCCTCTCACTTTCTAGTCTGTCCTCAACCTCTTCCCATTGTGTTCTCCTCCTTCAGAAACAGGACTGAAGCCAAAGCAAAGTCCCGCCTGCCCTATGCGCATGTTTCAGCTACACATGCACATCTACTATTCCAAAGTAAGGCAACACTCACCCTTGCAAAGTGCCTGCTCTTATGTGAGTTGGGGGTGGAAAGGGGTTGGGGATGGCCCTCAGGCCTGGGCTGGTTGCTCCTGGCTCTCCACCCAGATTTGTCTCATGATGATCAGATTGAGTCCCTTCCTAGAGGTGACATATTCTAATTCTGACATTGTAAGTGGGTGCTGGAATAGAACAATTAAGATGTCCTGTATGCCCATGAGGAGTTTTCACTTTAGTGGCATCAGTGGTAAAATACACATATATTTACAGTGAATTATGATGTCCTGTAATGGGACATGCCTAGAGTGTTAAGGGAACATGTGGCAAGATTTCCATGGTGGGGAAGGAGGTATTTGTTTGGTGGAGACACTGTTCAACTTGAGTCCTGGAGGGTGTTTTTTGATTGTTTGCTAATTTGATGAGGAGGCTGAGAAGAAACTGGGCGAAAAGGAACATTTTTGGGCAGAGAGATTAAGTGGTTTAGTAGTGAGTGAAACCAGGTGAACAATTTGTCATGTCCTTTGCTGTAACTTTCCGTGGTATATAGCTTTGGCAAAGTAACAGAGGTAATGAGGAAACTGCTAATAAGTTTTAAAGAATGACGTTGACATGACCAAGCATACATTTTAGAAAGATTTTGCATTATTATGGAGAATGCAATGAAGCAGGGTAAGGCAGGAGCTATTGAGACCCTTTCAGTAATTTGAGCAAGAAAAGAGATGGCCTGAAGCAGGAGCTGTAGGGACAGAAAGAAGCAGTTAGATCAGAATTATCCTGAAGGATTTCCTTCCTTTACTACCAAAGGTAAACTGAAGGTGACCTGATTGGACACCTTCAGTTTACCTTTGGTAGTAAAGGAAGGCGGGTCAAAAAGATGCCTAGTTTTCTAGGAGCCATGCCATTCAAAACACATATTTTCATTAAGAATCATTTGGGAACATATGAAGGCAATAGTCTACACTTTCTTTTATTTAAACAATAGTTTCTTATCCTTAATTCCAAAACGCAGATAGCTTGGAAAGCTGAAAGATTTTTCTTGACTTTGTGAGAAACTCAGTTGACAGCAACTGTCTCTTCTAGAACTATTAACATATATGAAGATGACATAAGGTGTGTTCAGACATCATGTTACCTTTCTAAAAGCCACACATCCCTAGCCCCAGCAGTTTGTGCTTTAAATCTGAGAGATTTCTTCTTTTTGTATTGTAGGTTGTAGTTCAGGAAGAACTACTGTGTGACAATGTAGCCATGGGGGAAGTTGGAGTGTCTGTGTTCTCTTGGGACCAGCTCCAAGGAAGAATACCCAGGGAAAGCTCTAACCATAGAAGAGTGACAGACACTGACACACATGTGTACGGAATCTCCTGGTAGGGCTAAAGGAAGAGCATCAGTGATTGAGAACTGGGGGTCATAAGTGGGAAGGAGACATAATTCACTTATGTGTGTGCAGTGTGTTTGTGATACACACATGTTGTCCTGTTTAGATGTTTACTATGTATGTTATTCTTTTTTGTTTTGTTAAATTTTAAGTTATGAAAATAACTATGAGAATATCATTGTGAAAACTTAAAGATTCATTGGAATTCCAGCTCCACTAAATATATTCATTTTGTAATAGTAAAGCTTAAATGATTATTTATATAGATAGTAGCCTTTTCTTACACCTTGTGGTAATTGATTCCTGTCATTTGTCTTTATGACTGTGATGACATTAGAGATTAGAGAATGGGTTTCAGAAGATTGCCAGGAACAAGAAATAGAGGATGCTTGAGGATGAGTACAGGTGAGAATTTACTCCTGGGGTGCGGAGCAGGGCAGTGAGAGTGGAGGGCAGGGGGAAGCCCTGTGTGCTGCTTTGCTACAGGGAATGAAGGTCGGGTATTTGGGAAGATAGTATAGCAAGACAAGAAAAAGGAGCGTATTTTCAAGCAAAGTGTATTTTTAAGGAAAGAAAAATTAGGAAACAGAAATAGAAAAGCAAGTTGTGACTTCAGAGAAACAAAGTTTCAGGGGGAGAACAGTAAATATCAGGAATGTAAAATATTGTTTACTGTTGGAGGTAGCTTGAAATCAGAAGAAATACCCAACTATTTGCTATGCTTCACCAAATGTGCTCTGTGTGTGTGTGTGTGTGTGTGTGTGTGTGTGTGTGTGTGTGTGTGTGTGTGTTACCAGGGATTTAACCCAGGGACTCTCAATCTCTGAGCCACATCCTCAGCCTGCATTTTTAGTTTTTAATTTAAGACAGGGTTCCACTGACTTGCATAGGGCTACCGTGTCCGGCATGTATATTCAAATTTTCTTTGCTACCTGTATAGATACTTGTATTTATAGTTCCATCAACAGTTTCTTTTACAGTGAAAAGCAAGAAATTAAATATTTAAAATGTATCACGATGCTTATTAATTAATGTTTGTGTTTTCTTTGCTGACATTTTTTTTAATGTTACAACAGTCTTGGGTCCTGATTAGCACCAAATTAATAAACTCAATGTCAAGAAAAATTTGTTAAGATTTAGTTACTAGCTGTGTAGTTGATAGTCACAAACATGTTCTTTATCATGTGTATTCTTTATAGAAAAGTACAACCATTGATGGATGAAAATTTGATAAAGCAAATAAAGTAAAATGTCAATTCTAGGATTTAGGTGGTAGATAAAATCTGTAAGTTTKAATATTTTCATAACAAATGTTGGAAATAACCATAACTGCTAGTGAAGAAAAAATTGACATGAAATGAGCATATTATTGTGCAGATAGTAAAATAATTATATACTTGACTTCTTTTTGTTCTCCATTGACTTTGAAAGGTCTGAAACATTTTTTCTGTTAGTGGAATACTAGTTTTAGAGGTAGTGCTATTTGATATAATTAATTTGTTCTCTTTTGGTGGAAATTGTTTTGTCCTGAAAAACAGCACTATTGTGAACATTAGTAAAGATAGATGAATAAGCATGAGGGTTTATAAACCATTTTTGAGGTAAACATAAATTGGAGCAGACAAGGGTTTAGCAACTATTTAGAACTTTATTCTTCTATTTTAGGGAATCTGGAAACATCAAAGCTGGATTAGAACATCTGGTAAGTTCTCATTTTCTCTTGAACATTTGCATCATCTTTGATATCTGCATTCTAAATGAACACTTTTGAATGAGCTTTGAATGCCTCGCATTGAGAAAGTCAACCATTCCCAAAGGGTCAGCTTACTGTTATTATGTGAAGGCACTTACATTTTCATTTATCTTATCATTTCAAGGGAATTAAAATTTTTTTAAAATTACCTTTTTTTTGAAGTAGAGATGAAATAAAATGAATGACAATCCTTGGATTGATGATTGCTTTAATTATAAGCAAAAATTGTTTGTTGTAGAATTTTTGGCATATCTTGATCTGACAAAAACAAGCTTGTGTTTTAAGAAAAACAATCAAATACTGCATGCATAAATATGATATGTTTTAGCAATTTAACAGCTTTGAAAGAAGCACACAGCTTTGCTTCTCCTAGTGTCTTTGCTTTATGAATAATGCATTGGTTCAAACTATATTCAGTTTTAGAATATATAATATTTGAGATGCAAAATTTTTGGTTTAAATAAACATTTTTAAAGAACAAGTAAAATTCATACTGATTTAACATTAAAATCTGTCCATTGATCAAAAAATTGGAAAAACAATACTAGTACAACAGGTTTGAAATTCATAGAGCTCACTCTACCAAATGTTCATTACAACATTAAATAGTTCATTTAAACAGAGCAGTATAAATTTAGGCTCTGGTTTCTGGTCACATCCAAATGTTGAATAATTAATGATAGAGATTCTTTTGTAAATACAGTCTGAGTACTTTCTTAATGCAAGACTTCATTCGGATATCATATTGTAGCTTTGTTAACTATTAATGTGGTTTTGTTCTGCTTTTGCAGAAGCAAAACAGTAACAAGAGGCAGCTTCATTTTGACTTAAAGGAATTTCAGAGTTAGAAGGAATTTTAGGTTTTCCTTTTTGTAGTTAAAGGAAACGGAGAAATCCTAGACCTTTAACACAGTTCCTAAAAATTATAGATTAATTATTTACAAAGTAAGAAATAATGACCTAGTTAGAAAATTTAAACTATGTATTTGTTGGGATTAGAAATAAGTAAATAACACTGTCATTATCATCATTTAAAAGTATTTCTCGAACCTCTTGAGTTTTTATCACTTCAAATTGAGAAGGTACTTAGGATATGAGAACATTAGAATGAAAACGGTAATCAAAACATCACATTCCAATGTCAGTTCGTAGTTTATAACATTAATGAACAGCTACCTGAATGCCAAAATGATCTCTTACACTGCTCTTATATGTGCTTAAGTATTAAGAAGATTTTTTTTACTCACTCTGTTCATGTTCTTCTGTATGTAATGATGAGTATGATAGTTCTACATTTAAATTCTGTATTTCATACTTGGAGGATCTTGTTTTTAGTGGCAACCTTGTTTTAAGTGGCAACACGTGGCAGTGACTTTCTGTGACTTGGGCTGCCAGGAATGTACCCAAAGTGGGTGGGTCTCCATACTCCCACTGCCCACTTATCCAAGTGGTTCCCCTTTATTTTGTATAGTGAACTTGTGCACTTTTAAATAAGATTTCATCTGATGAAAAAGTTTCCCAGCTATTTAAAAGCTTTTGACAAAGGATAATTGTGTATTAATTATTATTCTCTTTTCTGGACCCAAAGTTATGTTTCCTTTTTATCTGGGTCATATATATCAAACTTATTTCACAGACAAGTATTTTAGGCATGAGAGAGCCAAGATTAGCATACAGTTAGGTAGTAAGAAGCAGATGGTTTTAATGAGGTTTAATTTAAGTTATGCAAAAGATTCTGCAACTTGATGTTAGAATTAACTCACTACCTGTGCACCGTTGAAATATTCATCTATCTTGCTTTGTGTATTAGTAAAATCAATGATAGTCTTCATAACCTAAGGAGGGTCATGCAGGAACAAAGTGGGTGAACCCACAGTTATGGCATAAGCATTAATGTAACCTGCTCTATTTAGGACCTTGGACTCCTGGGGCTGTGTCTCTCTGTCCCCATTGAGATGTTTAGAGCCCTTGCCCTTTAGCACACCATTGCCCTGGTGTGAATTGGCTATGTAGCCAGATACTCTTAGAAACATGATGGTGAGTGACAGACTTTAAAGATATGTAAAGTAGAATTAAAATGAGAAGCACAGCCCACACATTTGAATCAAAGTCATTTTCATCCTTCTGTCCTTTCCATATTACTTATTTGAATTATTATAGAGAACTGGCATTATTCTGAGAGAGGGTAAAAGCTAGTGTGGATTTAAGTAAGGTAAGAAAAGTGACATTCAGCCTGTTATGTTTGCTGCCAGGAAACATACCTGGTTGGCTGACATTGCATTCAGTTACACAAGACCCTGGGAGGAGAAAGCAGGAGCACGGAGAAAGGGGTGGGTGCTGGACGACCTCCTGAACCTTTTTAGGGCTGGTCTCCTTTGCCCAATCCTTCATAGTCTTTTAGCCTTGGTCCTGCCATTTTTTCCTTTCTCTGTTGCCACCTTTTCTGAGGACCTGTGTTTTTTATTTTAACAAATCCTCCCATGAAGCCTATGTCAGTTTTAAGTTCTAGAGAGAACTTGAAGGTCATTGCTCTATTACCCATTGACAATTCTTGCCTGATGGTTGCTGAATGGAGATTGTTCAACTCTGCCATTTTCTCCATGTTAGCACCTGACATTCTATTGTAAAGAACCACACCCCTTTTAAATTTTTTGGGTTTTTTATGAGCAAGGATCCCTGGGTTTTTGTTTTATTAAATAGGTTATTATCACTTCTTTTCCTTATGTATTTTGATGTTCAAATTGTCCCAGATTCGTCCAGGGAGGCTCCTTTCTAGATGACATCTAGTTCTTTTGGCATGCCCTTCCCTTTCCTTTTCTTCCCTTCACTTTCAGCTTCCTCTTTTATCATACAAGTTATTCCAGGCTTATCTTGTACTTTCTCTGTCTCACTCTTGTAACCAGCCATTTCTTTAAATTATTCTGTTACAGTTTGGATGTGAGGTGTCCCCCAAAACTCCAGTGTTGATGCAGGGATGTTTGGAGGTGAAATGATTGGATTGTGAGAGCTGTAACCAAATCAGTCCATTCTACTTTGAATGGACTGATTGGTTGGTAGCTACAGGCAGGCAGGGTGTAGCTGGAAGACTGGGAGTGTGTCCTGGAAGGGATATTTTCCCTGCAAGACCACTTCCCACCATGGCTCCATCACACCCTTCAGCCATGATATTCTTCCTCACCTGAGGCCCAGTGTGATGGACTTGGCCAACCATAGACTGAACCTTTGAAACCATGAACCAAAATAAATTTCTCTCCCACTAAAGTTGTTCTTGTCAGATATTTTGGTCACAGTGATGAAAAGCTGACTAACAAGCTCTAGACATGTGTTGTGATCATTGTTTCTGGGATTCCATTGCCATCAGGAACTTTTAGTCCCATTTAGGTAGGTAGACAGGCTATGAATTGATTGATAAATTAAAATATGTACTTTTAAGAAAGCATGGGTCTTATTAATACGTTCAATCTGAATATAAACCACAAAACTCTTCCTGGTCATTGCCCACTTCCTGCCTATGTTTTTCTTCATTCAAAATAAGAGCCCTGATTCCTTACAACACCAGTGTATTTGCTCACTTGATCGATTATATAAACATTAAATAGATTCACTGCCGCAGTCTGGCTGGGCAAATAACCGGGAGGTGACAAGCAACTTGAAGGTTGAAACGGGAACTACTTTATTGCAAGTGAACTCAGCGGGAACTGAGCGAGAACTCAAGGTAGCGGGCACCCAAAGAAGCAGGAGCTGCTTCTCTGCCGGACAGCAGAGGTATATATACTTAACTAAGTATATATATACATTATTAATTAACATCATCTAGATACAGCAGTCAGCCAATAAGGAATCTTCATCATCTTAATGGCTCACTGGCATTGCTTCACAAAGCACTCCTCCTGGCAAAGTGCCAGGCACCATCTTGACTTGATTTGCATCCACAACAATTCACATTTGCCATGGGTGTATATTGTAAAAAACAACCTACTAAAAAGAGTTTAGGATCTGCTTACAGTTCTTTCACCCATTGAGTGTAGTCATGTCATTCATCTGAAGCTGAGTTGCATTCATTTCTGTTTGCTTTCAGCTTAAGTGGTTTTGTCTTCATTCTTGTTGATTGAATTATATATTTGGATATGTATGTGTGATGCACACATGCTTCTATAAGTCAGATTTTTTTTTTTTTTTTTTAGAGGGGAGAGAGAACTTTTGATATTTATTTTTCAGGTTTTGGCGGACACAACATCTTTGTTTGTATGTGGTGCTGAGGATCGAACCCGGGCCGCACGCATGCCAGGCGAGCGCGCTACCGCTTGAGCCACATCCCCAGCCCTATAAGTCAGATTTTTATACAATGGTAGTTTCAGAGAGATTAATCACTCCCTTTCTTTCCAGACTGTTCTTCTCTATCCCTTGTAGGAAGCCAATTTTATTGAGTTCTAGTTCATCTTCCCTTTTAAAAAAAATTAAGCATGTTTATGAGTGTGCACATGCATATGTGTGTGTGCCTGTGTATTTGTATTTTCTTATGAAAAGTAGCATTTTGATATGCAATTATGTATTTAGCCTTTTTGTTTTTGCTTATCAATGTATCCTGAAGGTAACTTCATACTTATTGGATATGCCATTGATTTTATTGGCTGTCTTCTTTATTCAGGGTCTAAGACTTTACTTGCATGCCTGGCACTTTCATATATGGCAGCAGAAGACATGAGATTCCTGGGTCAGTGGTAAAGCACAGAGATTGATGTGCTTCACATTCATATAGGTTCCTTTGACCCCCACATCCCATAGAGTGGTGCTGTGTAGTCAGTGGGTTGTGTGGTAGCTGAGAACTCTGAATTTAGGACTTCTGAAAAGGACTGCTACAAAACCTGTCCACATTTGCCCCAGAGAAAGATACCTTTGTTATCCTAGTCAAGTAGCAAAACTGCCTTCTAGTTCAGTAGAGGTTCTGT